AGTTATTTCTTTTTTTTTTCTGGGAACTGCCAATGTATCCTGAATGTGACTTCTGCCTAAGTGTGCATTGGTGTGTGATCTTTAATTCGTGGTCACATTTTGCTACAGGATCCTTGCCTCAGGAGTGCATGCTCTGGGGCATTTACTTCAAGGGACTTCGGGTTGGTTGGCTTTCCTCCAGGACTGTGATAGTCTGGGGGGAGTGGAAGGAGCCTTAGGTCAAGAGTTTGAGTGTTGCTGTTGGGACTGTCTTCTGTTCTTTCCCTGGCCCAACTGCCTGTGGATTACTAGATGAGTAATTAAAATTTTCTTCTCTCCCCTGCAACCCTTAAAGTTAATAGTAGCAGCTCCTTGTATCTGATTGTTTGATTCAGGTCCCAGGATGTGACTTGCTGTGTTTCAGACAAAAAAAATTATTTTGAAGGCTGGTGTCCTAAGAACTGTCCAACTGAACTCATTGAATCAGTGAATACTTTATAGCTAAATTCTGCTAGATTTCTAAGGTGGGAAGAATCATGTCTTCTCTCCTTAAAGGGATACTATGAAATGATTTTTCTGTCATTCTCTCACACATTGTGTTGATAAGCAATATGTAAAAGCCAAAGACAAGCCCAGAATTCATCAGTAAAATACAGTTTGGAACACTAATAAAGCCTGAGGTGAGCATAGCAAACAAGAAGAAAGCAAGACAGAGTAATTGCTCATCAAGGGAATGCATCCACCCTGTGCACAAAGTGGACAGACCTATGGGAAAAAAGGTTGTGTTGCCATTGAACTGCAGGCTGTATCACTATGCACACACAAAAGACAGATAAATTAAAGTTTTGTTTTCAGTTTTCATTCTGGCATTTACTAACTTATGTGTGCTTGACCTTATGACCTTAACATGTTAGTATAGAGTCACTTTCTATCAGTTAATATTATGCATGCTTACAGTGAGAGAGAGAGACTGATACAATGTACTGGGATATGAAACCCTGATGCAAGTTGTCTTTATTTATTTATCTATCTTATTTTATGGAACAGTTCTTTCCATATTTGATTTTCTGAGGCTTCTTCCATGACATAATATATTGTATCACTCACGTTTATATTAGCAAGTTAATTGAAGCCTGTTAAATCCTAAAATTTAACAGTTTGGGATTTTAGAGGCATTGCCCAAATTCATCTCTCTTATTACTCTAATGACTAATGACTAAGTGGCATTTAGCTTATTGCACACCTTTCATTTTGGAAGGTTAATCCTGCTAGCCTTACTCACAATGAAGAGATACATTGACTTGGCTTATTACACTGGACTCCTTTGTGTCGACAACTCAGTAAACGAAGAGACATATTTGGATGCCTTTGCAGGGAAAAAAAAAAAAAAAAAAAAGAAAAGAACTACTTTGTGCTTGCCAAAGAAACAGAAGCATTCACAGGGCAAATTAAAACTGCCGCAAAGCTTATGGAAAACTGCTAAGCGATAATTTCACATGGCAGTTTGCTGAATGCTGCAACCTGCTTATAAGCTCTTGGTTATATCCACCCTAACTCTTGAATTCTAGGTCTTATTAAAACAAGGTGTATTTTTAGATAAAGATGTTAGAACATACTGTGATTTCTACAGCTGATTACATTTTGCAAGAGAAAGAAAGCAAGGTGAATGGCTGGGTGTGTGTGAGCATAGGTACGTGTGCCTGTGTGTGCAGGTACCTGTAACACAGGTGGAGTTAACTATTATTTGAAAGAAGAAAAAATCAGTCCTGATGATTTGTGGTTTGGCTTTGGTTTTGTCTTATGTTTTATTTTTAAGAAAAAAAGACAACTTGTAAATGTGCAGCCTGCAAAGCAGTTGGCTGCATTAGGCCAGGGTAAATAAAGAAGGGTGGTAGTAAAAGCGGGATATCGTGGAATATATCTGAACAAAAGAGTGCTGTGACCTGAGCTTGACCAAAGCTCATGGAACAGAGGTATCCCAGCTTCAAGGTGATCAGCCCAAATTTTGCCTAGGGCAGTGTTAGTTGGAAGACATAATCATCCAGTGGCTGCTGGGGGCTTGAGGGGAAAATGGATGTTGTGACTTGGCAGCAGCTCCTCCATGGGTCCCACCAGGCCACTTCTGTAACTTGCAGCAATTACGCTGCTGTTTCTGTCATTAGCTCCAAGGCCAAGTGGTAGGACAGGAAAGGTGTCCCTCTGAGAGGCCCTTAGATTGTGGCTGAACTTACAGAGTTTGTGATTTTAGAGGCATTGCCCAAAGTCATCCCTACTTCATCACTCATAGTGAATGTCCTACTCACTGTAGTACCCTCCAGCCTTTGAACACCCAAAGAGAGTAGGCAGCTGGGAAGAATATAAGCCACAAGAAACAATGGGTTAAATTTACTATCTCACCATCCTGAGGAAAAGCACTGAGAATTTTTAGTGAAGAAAGAACAGACAACTATGTCAGTGTCAAAGGGCAAAACTAATTTAATACTGCAGAGGTTTCAGTTTTCTTTTTGGCTGTCATTTACTCTTCTGTGACAAACGTTAGTTTCTGAGTCAATGACTGGAAGCTCAAAACAGAATCACTCAGATTTGTGACAACAAATACTGCAGCAGAAGTCACCTGGGCAAACCACTAAGGGGGGTGATGGGCTGTTCACCTTGGGAAGTGTTAATGTAAAGTCTGGATCCTTTCTGGCATGTGCTTTAGTTCTGGGTTTCTCAGATGAGAAATTTGTGATTTCTTTAAGGATCAAAAGAAGAGTTGGGTGATGCTACAAAATTCTAGATGGCAGCATTCAACCACTTGGTTCTTCCAAGGAGTGAGAGGCAGTGCAGATATGGGTGTCCCATATATGACTAGCTAAGGCACAGTGGTGTGGCTTCAGTTTATTGGTAGGAGCTCAGCTCCTCCACCTCAAAGGGAATGTGCAGCAAGCAAGGAAGGAAATGACAGTGAAGCAAAGGTGTGTTATTGCCAAGTGAAGAGCCAACGTAGTAAGCATTTATAAATTCTCAGAACTTCTACTGAATTTATACTTGGGCTGCATCTATGATAAAAATTTGAGACATAACATACCCCGTATATCCTTGTCTTTAGCAGGAGATAATTGATGCACAAACATTGACATCTTAGGCATGTAGATAACATGTTAGTTAATGTTAGTCTGTTTAATGTAGCCTAATTTGAAAATGATATTTAAGATGGTACTTCTGAGACACCTGAAGGGGACATTTAATATTTGCTATACCTATACTCGTATACCTTATCTGGAGTTGTAAAACACTGACATATGTTTGGCAAAAGTGGAGTGGATGGCTTGTTTTGTAATTACTACTTTGGCAGGAACATCAGCTCAACTAGGAAAAAAACCTGTGTCAAAACCAAAACAAAATCCCAGCCCAACATCTTTCTTCCATGCAAATGAGTAACAGCACCTACTGAAAAACCAATCAGGATCATTTAAAAGAGTTTGAAAAGGATAATTTGGATGGCAGAGGGAAGCTCTAGAAATTATGGTAGTCTTTAATTTTTTAGTGCCTCCCTTCTTTGCTCTCAGCTTGTTTGCTACTGGTGGTACCTATGTGGGAGTCAGTTTGTATGTGCTTCTATTTTTTTCTTTTTAACTAAATTAATGCCTAGCACTGAGTCTGTACCATGGAAGAGATTACAAGAACAGGCAAGTCACTGTCCTGGCCCACATACCGTCTAGGAAGGTAAAATAGATGAATGCAAGGAAGCAGGAAAGAAACACAGGACAATGAAGTGGCTTGCCTGAAGGAACAGAGCAAATCAGCCAAGACTAGGACCAGATTTTATTCTTTTGATTGAGTATCTGAGCCACTGGACAAGTGGCTCTCCACCTCTTTTCTGTGGACGTCCTAGAACAATACCTAAGCAAGGAGAGCAAGCGTATGTTGCTCTTGAGGACCAGGAGACTTGATATCCTGCACTTGTTTGATGCATCCCTCATGCAACCCAACTCAGGTTGTGAACATGGAAGTGAGCTGATACCCTAAATGGGAACAGAGCAGTACGAGATCATAGTCTGGGTTTTTTTTTTCCGATTTTCTATGAGTCTGTGACTCCAGAGGACAATCTCTCAAATTTCCATTTCAAATTTTAAACATATGGGATGACCTGGCTTATTATTTCCCTAGTTTGACATTATAGTGCTAAGGTCTTTCATACAGAAAGACAATATGAATGTGAAAGTGTTAATATTGCACTAAGTATATGCCAGGGAGGCTTCTCATGTCATTTAGAAGCTGTAAGCCTCTAAAACATGGATGATACTGAGGTAAACAACTAAAACCAGCTAAACTTAATCTAGTGTGCAGCAGCTGCTTGGTTTTGATCCTATCTAAAGATGTATGTTTACTGGAAACTATAGCTAAAAATTTTCTACAAACTCCTGTGTGGAGTTTTGGTCCCCTCCTTTTACATTGTGCTATAATAGCTGGAATCCCAAAAGGAAACAGGTAATTCTGCAAGTTTCGATAAGCACTGATGAGCTGAGTAAGAGTTTGCTAGGTACTATCATGCTAGATATTGCATGTGAAAAAGTTAAAATGGTATGGAGCCATTTCAGATATTCTCCACCAGCCTTTCCATTCAAGTTCATGAAAAGCTTTGTGAAGCAGAAGATGTTTTGGTTTAATTGCTACATTCAAATTCAAAACAATCTTTTCTTTTTTTTTTTTTTTTCATAGTTTTGTGCCTCAGTATTCACATTTCTCATTCATTGCTATTCTAGGATTTTTCAGTCCCTGATTTTTTAAGAAAGTTTTTATTTGTTTGACATAGGACAGGTTTGAAAATGATTTGGTTTGCCTGTGCAGTGTTTCACCATGCTCAGAGGAAGGCTCAGAAGGTGTTAGATCCCACCAACAGCTGATGCTAGTTAAGAAAAAGTAATGGAAAATAGCATGTTGAAAAAGATAAGTGTGGAGTAGATGCAGCTACAATTGTTTGATAAAGTTGCTGTACAGAAATTACAGATCTTTGATTCCTGGCTGCAGTAACTCACAAGATCTTCACAGGGACCTACTTCTTCATGTTTTCTTTTTAGTCATCTATACCAGCATCAGGTTACTCTTTGGCTGCTTTCTACACAACCTTCCTTATGATTTAGCACAGGTCAGGACAGCTGTAAGCTTGCAAGTCAACAACTTGCACTCAAACACAAGGATCTCAGCCACCAGGAAGATAGTCTGTCAATAAGACAAGAATAAAGGTACTTAGTATTTTACCATGCTTTGGAGTAAGGAATATTTAAGTCCACGCCTTCTAGCTTGAAGTAACAACAGTTTGAAAATATTAGCTTACTTTTGTGAGTTCACAGAATTAAGTGTGGGTGATATTTGTGCAATTTGCTGTATTTTGTGCAGAATTTGAAACCCATGATAACACAAGGACATTGCCAAGAATGAGTGACCAGGGAGACAAATTGCTGTAGACAAATATAACCAGCTTTTTATTTTTAAACCATTGATTCAGATCATGATGAAACTAGTAGTTCTGTATGACATGAGTTGGACCAACCTTGGCATAATTTCCAGCAGTCCAGAACACCACAGGTGCCATTATCTGCCTTTGCCTCATTGACAGTATTTACACAGAATTCAAAGAGTTAATGGTTATAGAAAAGGAACTACCTCTTCACCCTGAGAGAGGTTTTTTCCATTTAAGTACTGAATACTGTGGTCATTGGGTGTGCATAAGGAAACATGGAAGGGAGAACATAAATTTCTAGAAACTTACCAAAAGAAATGTGCAAGTGGTTTTTTTATCTCATTCTCACATTAAAAAAACACACAAACTTTATTTTGGAAGACCTGAATAAGAACCTCTTCTATAACTGGAAAAAAAAACTATCAGGCAAACACCCACTACTGAATTATCACTTTTTTCTTTTTTTTTTCTGTGTCCATGTAGGGTTTTATTTTCCTCTGTGATCCATGTATTTGTCATGCTGAGTCACCTAAGGTCAAGTAGCATAATTGTCTCTGCCATACTGCACACCTTTTTTGGGGTCACTGTTGCTATTGCAGCTGTTGGTGTCACCAGACTCTGCTTAGCTTGGGTACCAGTAGCAGCACAGTGTGGTGCTTGGCATGAACTAGAAGCCATAGAAAGCACAGATTCTTCACACCAGACTGTTCTCTTCTGGCCCTCTTTACATTGCTCAGTCTCTTGCATAGATCTTCTCATGCTGCTGTCACAGCTATGACCACATTACGGACATAGATGACACTATTAACAATAGCGGGCAGTGGGTTTGGTGTATGAAGTCTCTTTCTTCCAAGACTTCCAATTTTATCTGCTTTTTCCTATCTTATTCCTGGCAACTACTAGCATTTCAGCCAGGTCTTGCTGTAGATTTCAGTCAGTAAAAGTGACTTTAGTAGGCTGCTGTGTGTTAGGACTTCATACCGGAAACTATTTTATTTCCCTTTTGGGCTTACATTTTTCCTTCTGAGTGACTGACTTTTGTCACAAGAAACATTTCTTCTTTTTTTTTTTTTTTTATGAGCTTTTCTCTGTGTTAGAGTTTAAGAAGTGATGTGTATGGATGGATGATAGAGGGTACACTGTGCTGAACATTTGTCAGAACTCAGAATAATGCCTCCATCAAGAAACTGATGTCAATGTTTGTGTCTTTCAGTGAAGTAGTGCAATGGTAGTTTTAAGCTTCATAATGAAGCTGGTTAGGGAACTGATAATGACATCTATGGTTAAAAAATGGTCTATGGCATAAAAATCATTATAACATCAAGCTTTCTGATGTAAGTCTCCAGTTCTCTGAATCACATTTTCCTCTATTAGCAAACTGGAAAAGATCACCCGCTTCTATGCAGTGTGGATTCATTCGTTACCATTACTAGAAAGCCCTAATTTAAGTTCAAAAGTAGTAAACCATGTCTGGCTGTTATGCCACCCACAATGCCTCTGTGATAGGTTATGGGCAAAATCCATCCTGGCTACATTTCTGTTCTCTGGTCAGAGAGCATCCTAACAAAACCACAAAATCATACACCTTTTCGAGTTAAAGACACATCCACCTACACTTTGCATGTGTTGTACATAGCTGACTCATGAATATATGATATTTCTGACTCTCCTGAAGGAGTTCTAAAACAGTCGCAGGCCTCTGAAATGTCTGCTCAATTTTACAACCATGGGATTTTTCCACTGTGATATAGAGTTAAATACCAAACCATGTCTAAATTTCTAGGTAGAGTCATGCAATTCTGAACTGGAAAATATCAGCCATTTAGCAGGAAATTACCAAATTGACTCAAGTAATCAGCAGCTTTCTTGTCCCCAGCTTTACCAGAAATAAACTAGGATTGTCGCTGTACAGACCAAATGCAGAAAAACTGTTTAAACAGAAAAAGGATAATACAATATATGGTTAATACTTTGTGGAATTTTACAGACACAAGTATAGTTATCTCATTTTCCATCAGTTCTCTGATTCAAAGAAAGCCAGAGGATTTTAACACCACAAGAGATCAAGCCCTCTGTTTCATCTCTGGGAGGCAACATCAAACTGTAGGACATGCGTCATCGTTTATCACCATCTATTTTCATTGTGAATTAGGCATTTGATATTTCCAGAGGAACTGGATTTTGGGTTAGCATGAGATCGCATTGTTTTGTTCTACAACAAAGGCTTGCCAGCTTTTGGAAGTTTATTTGCGGTGTTTGGATTTTATTATCAGGATCATGCACCATATGGGTTAGTTATCAGATTCCTCATGAATTTATAGTTTTCCAAACACCAAACAAAAAATGGGTGATTTTCTTACTCTTGTATTTCTGTATGACAGAAATAATGTTTTTTTTTTGTTTTGTTTTGTTTTTTTTTCTGGTGACAGGAATTTTTGAAGCATAACAAACAAGATGCTCAAAAGGGGCCCAAAGTATATTTTAAGACATGGCATTAAGGTCCTATTTTATACCACCTTTTTTTTTTGTGAAAGCATTCAAAACATTCTCCCTATCAAAGTTACCAAACAAATATGTACGGTGGTTGCTCACTGCAACTACTTTTTCCTTTAAAATAAAGATTTTTACAGCCTTCTGGATTTTTTTGAGAACACACCAGAAATCAGAATAAAAACACCCCACTTAGAAAGAACTATCCACCACAAGAAGAGCCTTGGGAGGATGGATTTTGAACAGCATGAAGTGTGATTTTTTTCCTGGATGTCTGTGGGGTGGGCTTCCCCACAGAGAAAGGCAGTTTGTGTCTCATGGTCAAATTTACAAAATAAAAGAGATTTCTGTTGACCCTCCAAATGGGTGGCCAACTCATCACAAAGAATTGTCTGTCAACTGAGTAGATTTGTGATAGGGGTGAGTGGTCCTACTTACAGACTGAACCCATGACCCCCTAATCCTATCTCATGTGTAATGCCTGCTAGACTGTTCAATGGTCATTACACCTGGGTGAACAATTTGGACAAAAAAATAGAGTGATTCTGGGGATTAAAGATCCAAAGAAACCAAAATCCAGCTCTCCAAGTTTCTTTGGGCTTTCAGCTTCCACACAATTTTATATTAAAGTGATGTCTTTCCCATAGTATGTTTGTTTTGCCATGACAGCAAACTTTCATCCTGCATCCTATAGACCGAGCTAGGAAAGCTGAAGAATATGGTACAAATCCCTTGCATCTGAGTTAGAGAAATTGGAGTTTTAGGACTCATTTTGGTGGAATAACACAATGGTAATCCAATAAAATCAGGCACTTTGATTTTTACTAGGGATTAAATGCTCAGAAATTGAATAAAAATGTAAACACTGGCTTAATTCTAGAATTGTTTATTTAAAGTGGCATTGGATAGGAAGCTTTATGCCATATTCTATACAAAACCCATGAATTATAGCAAATGCAGAAGCATCTAATGATTTGGACTCTCAATCTTAACTCCTAGGGCCCCTTGAGCATACAAAGAGACTGCATTTCAGCCTGCAACTGAAAGACACTTTTTGACTAACACATGTCATTCTTTACAACTGAAACTTCTTTGGCTTTGTTTTGAGACATGAGGGAATGACCCGGTAAGGCTGGATGTGATGCCACCTCATTTCTCTTTGCCAATTCACAGATCTCTAATTAGAGCAATTCTTCTGTGCAGTTGTTCCAGTTCTCAGAAGTGCAATGAAACCAAAACAGGTCAAGCCTACTTTGGCTACAGTTTAGTGGTAAACTTGTTTTCTCTGCCATAATTCCACTCAATACTGCACCAAAATTTTGTTGGGATGTATTCAGATTGTGTATCAGTGGGAGATGTCATATGCAATATCTTTAAGACTCTTAAAATAGATGTTTTTATAACATAACCTTTTTGTATTTTAATTATGTAGTGAGGATACTTTTACTTGCCAGAGTTTACCCTGTCTCCGCAATAAAACCTCAAATATCAAGCATAATTTATGCAAATCATGTTTCTACACTTTTTACCTTACTTCCCCTCCATCTGCCCCATGTTTTCAAAGTCAGATGCTGCAACTCCCCTGATTTGCAAATCAAAGGAGTGCTGATAACTGGAGGCTAATTGCACAACTGCTATTCTTCCGCTAATGAGGGGGTGAGACACAAGTTCAAGGAGTCAAAATATTTTTGCAGGGCCCATTTAACACAGCTGCAAGAGAGCCTTAACACTGGGTCTGTGAGCAAACTGAATTAGTCAGAAGCAAGGGAAACTCACTGTAACATTAGGACTAAATAGTCACTTCAGGTCTGAAGTCTGTTTCTTTCCTCCCTCCATATGCACCTATTTTCAGATTTGGCAGTGTTTTGCTTCATTTTCCTCCTATTTCACTACGAAGGATACAGAGGAACACCTCAGGGTTGAGCCAGTATTGATTTTGATACACTTGATAAGGTTACTCTTAATACAAGACCAGTGATTTCTCAAATCAGCTCATTTGCCCTTACCTACAGCTATCCCAGGTGTGGTGGTTAATCTAACATGGGTAGTCAGGGAGCCTCAGCCTTGTAGATGGCCTGAGGTCTCTGGCCCTTAATTAAGTCAGTGGAGTTGTTCATCTCCCCTGTACAGGACAGTTTTCCACTGTACCAAACACAAGAGGATCAGCCCTCCTGCCTTTTCTGCTATGTG